ATTTCATTATTTCTTTAGAAAATGTTGAACAATATGTTTAGCTTCTCTGTAATATAAGCATAAACTTTCTTGACATCGTTGAGTCTTTTTTTGCTCTATGAGGGATTCAAAACATATCATAACAATTTACATTGATTTTGGCCTCAATGAATAATTTTCTGAAAACTTGGGAGTTTCCATCATTATTTGATTTGTTCTTCTCTAGTCAAATCTGTATTCTTGACATCTTTTAAATAATCGATTGTTGCATGCAATGGCTTGAGTAATAAATTGTTCCAAAGATTTTGCCTTTTACATTATTACTAACAAATCATTGATATTATCCTTCAATCCATATCAAAATTGATAGATAAAGGCTTTGTCATTCTAGTCCAAATCGCAAGCTAGATTTTGAAATTCAACAGCATATATGGTAGCTGACCGTGATCTTTGCTGTAATAATAAGAACTTAGTTTCTACTACTTTTTTTGAATTATTTTTTCAAATGTGGCCGTAAATATTTCTAAGAATGAATTCAAATCTTAAAGGAGTTACAAAACTTTTTCCATTAAAGGTACAAACCAAAAAAGAGTATTTTTTGATAGAAGTATACCTATGAATCTGACTTGAGTAAATCCATCAGGATATTGGAAGGAATGCAACCTTAAATAGAACTTTGTTTATTATAAAAATCCTTGAAATTTTGATCTTGTTCCATCAAACTTCTTAAGTACACTAATCTTTGTCCTCGATATACTTATAGAGGTAAAACTATGTGAATTTGGTTGCAAGGTTGATCTACTTGCTTCTTTCAATTGCACAACTTTTTGTCGCAGACTCTAAACTTCTTCCATAGACATAGGCATAATACTTCCATGATTCACATTTAAAATATGTGAAATTTTTATTCTTAGAATATTGACAAGGACTTGAAGATCTATAATAGTTGCTAAGAATAGCATCTATAATCTTTCCTTCTATAGACAACTCAAACAAATTCAAAAAGTTAAATTAGAAGAGGGCCATCTACAACCTCTTATACCAAATGAAAATTTCCATGAAAAAGGATAATCTATTCTCTTTAAAGAAAATAACATTATTAGAAAATAAATTATATATAAAAAAAAATGATTGAAGGTAGGTAGTCCACAATCTTCAAAATATAACAATAGAAGTGAGATAATACACTCATTTCTAAAATAAGACAAAAATAATAAGTTAGCACTCTTATTAAATTATCAAGGGCATAAATCTTGAAAAAAAAATCCTCAATATACTCTTATGTCACTAGAAAGAACTAAAAAGTCCCTCAAAGGTGATATAATATTGAATTAGAATAACTATTACTTAAAATAAGAAAACTAGAAAGTCTAAAAACAAGACTAAAGACTAGAAAGGCAATAACAAGACTGAAGAAAGCTTCACTCTTGCCTCTATATGTACTCTTAACTAGGAGCTATATAGTGATGTCCTATAGGACCTCCAAAACATGTTGATTTTGCAAGACATGTATCTTAACTTGCAAAGCAATTTTTCTATGTGTGCACCGCATAGTTAACTTGTTCCGCAAGCTACCAACACGTGGTTAAATTATTGACCAAGTTTTTAACCTACCAATAAACTACAAACACATGTAAAATCAAAGTAGTATCTATAGAGCTTCTAAGAAGCTTTTCTAGAAGGTCTTATAAAATTAATCTATTTTTATCTACTTTTATATACTTTTACCTAATTATATAGATATTTACTGAAATACCTATGTATATCTATGACAAGTTGCCAAAATCATTCAAATAACAACTATTTTTAAAATTATAAAAGAATGTGATTACAACCTAAAAATATTCTATAAAGGTATTGCAATTTTTTTAAATATTTTTAAGCACACTATTAGAATTTAAATTTTGATTTTATAAATTATCTAATTAATTTAAAATTAAATAAAAAATTATAAAACTTATAAAACTTAAAAATTTAAAATAAAAAGCCAATTAGATTATAATTTCTAATTATTTTTATTTTTATTTTTTAAAGATTTTGAGTTTAAATTTAAAAATATAAAATATTGATGATTTATATCTTAAATCTAAGATTAAAAAAATAGATCTTAAAATGTAGATAAAATAATTTATTAGAATATTATTAGGTTAAAATTTATGTATATTAAACTAAATTTACAATTCATAAATTTTAAATTACACAAACACATATTAAGTACTTCAGAATAAACAATTATTGTTATTAAACCTTGTTGTAAGAGCCCATGATAGGTTTTTAGTTTTAAATATCAAATTTATAATTAATAATTTATCATGATATTAAATAGTTAAAATAAATTTGATTATTTTAATAGAAGAATTTTATAAATTATATAAATACTAAAAAAAATCAATAATTTTGATAAATTAGTATGGAATGATACACATATAATACAACTTGTATGATTTAAACTTATCAACCATGGTTGTATACAAAGAAAAAATATTTGCAAATAAAATCTCAAACAACCAAATATATAAATAAATATATTTTAGATGTTGGAACAAATGATGAATTGCAAAATTAATGTGAAAATTTAGAGAAAGAATGCTAACACCTTGGAATATCAGAGTTTTACATGGTGGTCTAATCATGCATGAACTGAACCAGGAATTGTAGGATAACATTGAGAGCATCTTGTATTATGATTTTCATACTCTTAAACCTGCATTGAATGAGGGTATATTGGGGCTTCGAATGCTTTGTTTACAAACCCGCTCAAAAAATTTATGAAATAAATGTTCTTCAAGTATCTCAAAAATATAAATATATATGCACAATTCGTGAAGTTGTGGCGTGGTTTGAGAACATGATGTTTGACCTAGCAGTCAAAATCAAGCAAAACACTGTTTTCGATGAAGATATTTACTGCAGAGACCATGTCATGTTTCGATTATAGCATGAAATTGGGCATTAAACTAATGTATAGTTAAGGTATAAGAGGACGGAAACGTTGAGTTCGCACTTCTACAGTTCTGGTAAAGGATAATGAAGTTAAACTGTACATGAGCAGGCATAGCAGCTGACGACTCACCAATTCAGCAGTGATTGCCTCTAACATCGTATCTATTATCCTACTGTTTTACTGGATTCCAATATTGGTCAAAATCCAATGCTCTGACGAAATATGAAGGAAGCAAGAAGGGTTGTCAGGTTTGCATCTCAGTGTGCCTAGATTGTCACGCCACATATGTTCTCAGCGATGACTCACACACGCAGTTTCAAATTCTGAAGTGTTCGGTTTTATTCAACTGCTCCAACGAGATTTTGGACTAAAGAGCATAATTCTTCGTTAATTCCACAATTGGTGATCAGTTATAGACCAAGCTAGAATCCTGAAATCCTTTTTTATGACAAATGGATTAGAAGTGATGCAGTCTTTGGTATACTACACTATGTGCTTCTCACTGTTTGCTGTAGATTTCACCTTCTAGAACGCTCTCCCTTCAGTTTAACCCAAGAAGTTCATGATAACAAGATAAGGGACGAGATTGCACACAGCAAAGTCTGTCACCGCCCTTTCTAATGGAAGTTCATGCACAAAAAATCTGCAATTTTCGTATTAACTGCGATGGGTAGCCAGCCCACCTAAACCACGCAAATGGTTGGAGACGACCATTTTAAACATGACAATACAGATAATGTGGAATTTATACTCTAAATTCCCTGTTAACAGAGTTTAACTGCATCCGCTAACAGAGTGATCCTAACAATTGAATGGTATGAGAAAGATTCCTCCCAAGAAATAAAGCTCTGTTATGCAGACAGTTAACTGCAACAGTGAAGTTTTCGATGCAACGCCAAGAGTCGTGATGCCAAAGTGGAATTTATTGGACAGTATGCCATTCCAGAATTAGTGAAATCTTTGATTTGTTCAACTGCAAGCGTTGAACATCTTCCTGAATCCAAGGACTTACCAAAAGAAGCGAACCAGAGAGAAATGCACAACATTCCTTTAAGTGCCGAGGTGCCGATGCACAGCGTCGCCTGAAAGAAAAAAACATCAAAAGGAAAGGTGCCCACAGTTGCTGTGCACACCTCCTGCAAAATATTACGAGTTTCCGCAAAAATTTCGGTAAGGGTTGAAAAATTGATCACATCAAGTCGAACGAAACAAGACAAGGAAAGTTCAGGATGCAGTATTACAGCAGTGACAAATCAGAACTGCAAGGTTGAAAAATACTTGCCTGTGTAACTTTCGTTATCAAACCATAAATACCGCACAAACCAATGATTTGCACAGATCCATACAGAAGATCGTTGTCAGTATCACGCGGGAGCTTCGCATCTTTCGCTCAGAAGGGGAAGGATCGAGCTAGGAGTTAAAACCTTCTTCGATTGATCTTACTGTTCTCTATATGTAACTCGAATGCATTGTTCCAGGAAAGTTAGGACGATAAGATTTCGCGTGAGGGCCTTAGCATTTGAGACTGCGTTATTGAAAGAGTAAAGATGGTTAAAGTATCGGGTTCGGACTGAAAAAAAGATGGAGATGTTTGAGATGTCCATGTATGGCCAAATGAATGTTTTGTTGGGGTCTTGGCGTGATCTAGACGCGCAACTTTAGATATGGACATCGTGATCCACCACTTGGCCAACAATGTTAGGGTAAGAAATTTCAACAGGGGAGAAATCTCTTCTCTCGTGCATTCGCCGATAAAATATCAAACACCTTAAGAGTCCGAGAAGTCTATCGGTGTTCACGGTCTCAGCCATCTGCCATTCTATGACCGTCAATGTAGCATCTTTTGGAAACTGGGATCCTCCACACGGTCACGGACATCTCGTGCAGAGCACTGGGTTCAGTAATTACTGTTCACATGTCAGGATAACTAAGGCTGTTGATTGACGTCCAATAATGCTCGACCCTACCAGATGACAAGGTAAACTCTTCATTCGGAAATCGGGTGCAATCCTTTTTTCATTAGCTGCGTAGTAAGTGAGGATCTTTTCCTCGATAGGTTTGATCCAGAAGGAAGACTCGGTATTCGAGAAGCAGGAACCCACCACTTGTTCACAGATCTCTTACATTCTTCTCGAACAGTGTTTTCTTTAGAAAGTAATGGGAGGACGGAGGGGATTCCTACTTCCCAAGGATGCTATCTTATCGTCCTTTCTCGTGTCCAAGCTGCTGAATGCCAGCATCTGTTCTTCCGTAGAACACTGGGAATTTCACATCCAGTCTCGAGCTACACCAAGCTAATTCCTAATTTTGACACGGGGAATCTTCCAATGGTCATCATCAGTAGTTGGTTTGACTCTATCAATCTATGGAACGTATTGCGAATGTGGTTTCTCGACTCTCCTTAACGTCCCACTAACTTTACTGTGGGGAATCTATGGAATTCCCGCGCCCCGATGCTCTCGCTCGATGTAGTGACAAAGCCGCCATTCTGGGTTTGTCCCCGCTGTTCCACTTGCCGCAGCAACAGTCCTGTGGCACGGTAGGGATCGTGTTTGTAGAAAGAAAGAGTCCAACAATGCATGAGGGAGTCATCATTCACCTCTTCGGTCGAATAGGATGTTTTCACTTTGTTTAATTGTTTGATTAGTGTGGATCCCTTGAACTTTTGGAGTACAGTGACTTGGATCAACTGTGGACTTCTGGTTGGATTTTGACAGCTTGCTCCCCTCGTTTGGCTTACGAAGTGACGTGAGACTGCTTCTTACAGCCGATCTGAATCTTTATGCCAGGTACCAAATTGCCACACCTAAATTCTTGGTGGAAGGTTTGTGTGCGTTGTGGTGTTTGAGGTGTTACAAGGGACTGTTGTTGAGGAAGTAGTTTGCAAGAGATCATTGAATGGAATATTTATGGATCTGGATTGTTTGATTGTCTTGCTCTCTTCCCAGATTTGTCAGTTGCTGGTGGGATTTTGTTCCAACTTAGCCATCTACTTAGTAATTTCGTATTAGACACAGGCGGTGAGCAGGGGTTTATCTATTTGACGAGAAAGTTCGAGTGCAGATCAGGGTTGGTCCTTCTGGGAGCATCTTCAATGACAAGCTCTGAGTGGTTGTAGAAATGCGAATTAGGAAGGATGGGAGCGTCGCAAGTGGTTGCGACACGATATGGGAGCCAGTACGCTTACTAATGAAGGGCGGATGATATTGTTTTCTTTCCGTGAGGATCATGTTGGAAGGTAGTCGATCAATCACCATTTCAAGCGTTAATCCCCACTTGTCTACTCTACTCTGCGATCGATAATACCATACAGACAGCAGTCCTTGTTAAAGACCATCATTTCGATAATTTAGTGTAGTGTTCGTTCCTTCAATAGAGTAGGGAATGTCCAGAGTTCTTTTCTGTTGCTCTTGTGATTGTGGTGCGCTCGCTGGAGAACTTTGCTGGGTTTTCTATTGCTTGAAGCCGTGCTGATATTGCTCTCAGCTGGGATTCTTCTCTGCGTCAAAGGTTGCTGATTGTAATAGCGGCTTGCAATTTTCTGTAGTGAGTTTTGTCACACTTCAGTGAATATCATTGAAATGCATTCCTAGTGTTTGAGGAGAATGTGTTCTATCGGTAAAGAAAATTGTCCGACTTTAGTATAATGATCTACAAAAGGACCTCGTTGGCTTCAAGCTGCGCGCAGCTGAGTGAGAGGTGTAGCAATTGCTGAAATATCCTTTGAGGATGTTCATGGATTTTTGTTTATTCGAGAAGTCCAGTAACAGACATGTTCTTTGGTGTCTAGGGGCAGCCTATTTGATGTAGCGTTCCCTCAGAGTAGAATCAGGGCTCAGATTGCAGCAGCACTTGTACATGAGGATTATTTGAAATGCCAGATTGTTATCTGTCGTCTAGCGTAGTCAGATACTACGTTACCTTTGCAGAATCTAATTTGTCACAGCACACCCTTGCCCTCGGGATTGTAAGTTTGAAAAGTAATTCTTTTTAGTTTCTAGTACCATATCAGTTTCTTATTTATCTCAACGGCGTGTACAGAGAATTATCCTGGAGTTACTTACAACTTGAGCAATAACTTCAATTTGCAAGCTGAAAGGATTTTCAAGCTTTCTGGTGGAGACGACTGATTGCTTTGTGTAAAGCGGGAGTAGAACTAGCGTACGCTGTATTTCATTTGTTCCAAGCCAGCTATCTACAATCAGCTTAGATCTAGTTCATGCGATGGCTGAATCTAAGGATACGATACCTGCCATTGGAATAGATTTGGGGACCACAAATAGTCGTGTGGGTATCTGGTTGAATGAGGAACATCGTTTCCAACTCATCTCTAATGATCATGGTAAACAATCCACACCCAGCTATGTCGCGTTCACTGAGACACAGCGTCTCATTGGAGACGCTGCCAAGGATCAAGTAACGAGGAATCCTGCGAACACAGTGTTTGGTACGTTTCTGGTCAAACCATGTGAATTTTTGTGATTATAACTCAAGACAGAAGCTTAAATGTGTAATAAAGAAGATAATTGACATTGATTACTTCTCAGGCGCACTGCTTCAAATAAATATCGAAGTTTTATTCAAGAATGGGGTATACATAGTGAGAGTTCCATGGGCAGTCTAAAACTATGTGCATTTGCTTAAACAAAATAATCACGGTTGAATTGCATAAGAAATCCAACAATTTAGAGCATGAGGTTAATTTCATATCAAATTTTGCAACAAATCTTGACAGGGTTACACTCATCTCAGTGGAAGGAAATTGAGTCGTGTTTCTGTCAACATTGACAGTGTTGATTTTTTTTTATTACAGATGTTAAGCGGTTAGTTGGTAGAAAATTCAGCGATTTGCGTATCAAATCTGATAAAGTGAACATTCAGTGGCCATTTAGAGTGTCATGTGGTGTGGATAATAAGCCAATGATACATGTCGAGTACAAGGGTAAAGAGAAGGTCTTCTCTACTGAAGAAGTATACTCGATGATCTTGGGGAAGTTGAAAGATCTGGCGGAAGTGTATTTGGGGTCAGTTGTTGATGAAGCTTCTGTAAGTGTTCCTCTTTGCTTCAACTCTGCACAAAGACGAGCCACTCGGAACGCCTGCAGCATGGCCGGTTTTGAAACAGTCACTCTTGTTAATGAGCCTAGTTGTGCTGCCCTTGCTTATTTGTTGGACAAGGATCTTGAATCACTTGGTGAGCAGAACATTATGATTTTTGATCTCGGAGGTGGTTCGTTGGACGTCACTTTGCTCCGCATCGATGGCCGAGTTATAGAAATAAAAGCAACAGCAGGAGACAGCCAATTGGGAGGAGAGGATTTTGATGTCAGAATGCTTCATCATTTTATTCAAGAAATCAAGCAGAAGTATGAGAGAGATATCACTAGTCATCCTCGTGTCGTGAGGAGATTGAAAAATCAAGTGGAGAGAGTGAAGTTAGCCCTTTCATATGAAGCGGAGACGATCATTCAAATCGATTCCTTGCTTGAGGATTTTGACTTCCACTCTAGTATCTCACGTATCTGTTTCGAGGAGATGAACATGGACCTTTTCGAAAAATGCATCAAGTGTGTGGAAGATTGTCTCCAGTATGCACAGATGGATAAAGCTGACGTCCACAAAGTTTTGTTGATTGGTGGTTCCAGTCGCATCCCTAAGGTGCAGCATCTTTTGACTGAGTTCTTCAATGATGGATCAATAATCATCAAGTCCATCAACCCCGATGAGTCTGTTGTTCTTGGTGCTGCTGCTCGATCTGGAGTCTCTCATGGTTACAAAGAACTTTCCAGCTTCCTTCTTGTGGATGTTACTTCCATATCCTTATGTGTGGAGACAGCTGGAGGTGTGATGCATGTGATGCATCCACGAAATTCCAGCATTCCGAGGAGTAGTGAACAATTGTTCACTACAGTTCATGATAACCAGGATGGAATGTATATCCAAGTGTATGAAGGTGAACATCCTCAAACATGCAACATGTTGGTTGCCGCATTTGAGTTGTCTGCGATAGCACCTGCTCCACGTGGTGTGCCTCGGATCCTTGTGCGTTTTGACATCGATGCATACGATATCTTGACGGTTACAGCCAAAGATGAGACAACCGGACAGAAGGTGAAAATTTGCGTGGTAAGGATTACAGAACCATAAAACCCTTCAGATTAGTGTATTTTAACTATCCAAGTTTTATCCTAGAATTGATTGTTGAATCTTTATGCAAAAGATTATCGTCAGTCAATGATTTTTGTTTATTTAATTGTTGTTGGTGGCTCTGGATTACAGCTAGAAACAATGAAAAGTAAAGAGTCAGTAACACTATCCTTTTCACATGCCAACCTGTCATACTTACTACGTTGTGGTCGTGTGTGAGATTCTACCTGCAGGACGAGGTTGACATTGCCAACATCACCGTGCATCACGATGAGGAGCGCTGCCATAGGCTTCCAATCCAGGTTTGAAATACCCCACAGCTCTTGTGTAAATTGAATCGAGGGACGTTTTTATTTATTTATTTAAAACTTTCTCGTTTACTTGTAGGTGTGTAAACCCTCTTCGTCATCTGAAAATTCAAACCAGTCCTATACCTCGTCAAGACTCCACGAAGCAAGCACCACCGTGGAGAGCAGTTCAGAAGAAATTTTGGGAGCACAAGTAGATGAATTATACAAAATCGCAGAGAATAATTCAGATGAATTTTCTGAGGTGGCCGAAGGGAGCGATGAGTGTGAACCGGATGCTGAAGAAAAACAAGAGTTAAAACAGAAGTTGGAACAAAAAGCTGAGGAGCTTGTGCTTAAACGGGGGTCTCGTTTGGGCGACAAGAAAAGCGACGGGAATGCAGTTTCGGTTGAGGATGTTCCAGAAGCCGAGGAGAGCAGATCACGAGAACTTTCTGTTTCACCTCAAAATTATGACTCAAGCAATATAGTTGAGGACGACCCCACCGAATTCTCTGAAGTACCAGAAGTATTTGAGTCTTGCAATGCTGTGGAAATGGTGTTTGAAGAATACTTTGAGCCACCCCAATCACATGGCTCAATCGTTGTTGAGGAGAGTGGATCGATAGAGCTCGGTGAGGTACCAGAAGTATCTAAACCAAGCCACGTCGTTGATAGCAGGGTACGTGGATTTCCTCAACCCCCACAAGCGTCTGGGTCAAGCAAATTGGTGGAATCGTCACAAGAGTTTACAGAGGTAGAACAAGTACATGGATCGAGTAACTCCGTAAACAATGGGAACCAGGAAACTTCTGCACCACTACAAGCATCTGAAATAAGCCAATCCGAGGAGAGCAGATCGCAGGGCGCTTTATTAGAGAGGATAATTGAGGTTGTCACTGAAATAGCGTCAATCAAAGACTTCAAGGCTCACAAAAAGGAGTGTTCCACGCTCACAAGGCGGGTTAAGGCACTCGTCCTACTATTTGATGAGTTCAAAGATAGTGGATTAAGTTTGTCCGAAGAGGTCTTCGCATGCTTTAACTCCTTAAAGTCAGAACTAATCAAAGCCAAATCCTTGCTTCTCTTGTGCCACGATGGAAGTAAGCTTTATCTGGTGAGTTTCTACCACGTAATTTTCATGCTTCCTGTATGAAAGACTCCACCCATGGTTTTCTGGAACATCTATATCTTTGCTTTTTAGTGCGGGGTTTTGGATAACGAAATTTTACTGAAGGCATCGTATTCAACTGCCGTTGGTTTATCTGTTTCAGTATTGACTTGCTGACCTTCGTCGTGGGGACTTTGTACTGTGACACCTCGAGTCAATCGAATTTGATACTCTTTCATTGTCCTGAGAGTGCTAAAAACGGTCTTTGATGAGCCTAGAGAATACGTTGTTGTTTCAGGTCTTGGAGCAACAAAAGGTGGCAAATAAATTCTTGTTGTTGAACATGAAATTTTTGCAAGCATTGGACAAGTTGCCAGAGTTACAGGACCTTGAAATCCCTGAAGAAGTGCGGGAGCAGGTAAATCTTACCTACACCAAAGAGGACATATTGTGGACCGGAATACTCCCGAAGAATTGTACTAATTTTTATCTTTCATGTTTGACGTTGCGCTTCTTACCACATTAAAAGCAATTCAAGTAGCCTTGAACCACCTTGCACAACATTGTTGCGGTCCACAACCATCCTTCATCCACAGTGCACTCAGTTTTTTGGTGTAGCAGATTCTGTGGCTGCTGAACTTTGATTTTTGCTTGTACGTTTGGACTGGCATCAAGCCAACTATTTTGATTCAAGCAATAGTGTTCTCCAGCGTGAAGCAATTTGGTAAGTTCTAATCAGAACTTCCTTGAACACTATTCTAATCTTCCACGTTCTCCAGGTTGAAATGGTACAAAAGCAATTCAAAAGGTCAATCGCCGTTGAAGACCCCGTTGACACCCTGCTGAATGCTGAGTTAACTACTGCTCTGGATGGGTCACACGAACGCTCGAGAGATCAACTGGAAAGAGTTGCTGCGCAATTCAAACTTGAGACGGCAGAAATGCTGAACAAAGAAATTCAAGCTTTACATGAGATGAAAATGAACAAGGGACCAGGTCTAGAGGATGTGCCATATAATGAGCGAGGATTTGAGCAAATTTTGGAACTTTTGAACGACTTGAAGATTCTCTTCTCACAAGAGCCAGAGCTAGATCATCCTGAAGTGACAAGTTCCCAAGAAGTCCAGGGCACTCTTACAGAGAGCAAGTCACGGGAAACTTACGAACCCCCTCATTCCACTGGATCCAGCACAACTGTCTCGGATATGTCACATGAATTTTCTGAACCATCACAGGCAACCATCCGATCCAGCAACGACGTTAAGAATAGGTCACAAGAGTTCTCTGAACCGCCGCCCCCTTACGCATCAAGCATTGGTTCAGGAATCACTTCACAGGAATTTTCTGGACCACAAACATATGGGTCGAGCAACTCTATGGAAAGGAGATCGCAAGAATTTTCTGATCGACCACCAGTGTACAATTCCAGCAAGACAAGCATCAGGTCAACACGTGAGTCCTCTGAAGCTCAACAAGCTTACGAGCTAAGCAAGACGTTGAGGAGTAGACCGCAGGAGTCTTCTGAGCCAGTAGGAACTCAGAGATCAAGCAGCGCTTCTGAGAGAAGATCACAGGGGTTTTCTGAACTTGAGCAACAGAGCTCGAGTAATGGTGTGGTTACCAGTTCTCGTGATCACTCTGAACCAACTCACGTGTATAGACCAAATAAGACTTTTGGGGGCAGGCATCAGGATGTTTTCGGGCCGATACCAACACATCATTATCGGTCAAATAGCGGCTCTGAGGCCAAGCAACGTGAAACTTCTGAATTCTATCCCGTGAACAAGAGAGACGATGGGTTAGAGAGCAGACCACGTGAATATTTTCAACCTCCACAAGAATCTAGGCCAAATGAAGTTTCTGAACCATCACCAATCCATCATCGATCTGGGAGCGCCTTTGGAAGCACACATTACGAGTCTGCTGCTCTGTCTCCAGTCCACAAGTCGGGCAACGCTTCACAGAGTAGGCGGCATGATTCATCCGACCGATCAGCATCTTTTAAATCAAGCTCCACCTCTGACGTAAGCTCTGAGGAGTTCTCAGGGCCACTTCGAGACCATGGATCAGAGCATAACTCCGGAGTTGCGGAACATGGGGGTCATGCCTCTCCAAGATTATATAGGTCTGCGACAACCGCCGATGGGCCACCTAAAGTACCAGTCAATGCCCGCAGCGCCTCCTGCCCGCTAGTTAGGTCAAGTGATGCAATGTTTGAAGATGTTGTCAAGAAATATTACTGGGACGAAGTTCTGGCTATGACGGATAATTTGCAATCCAAACGGCTCGGAAAGGGTGGTTTTGGTGTTGTGTACCTGGGGAAGTTGAACAATGGAAGAGAGGTGGCGGTGAAAGTCCTGGATGCATCTTCTCAACAAGGGACAAACGAGTTCCTCAATGAGGTTTTCCTACTTCTATTGTCTGTTTTATTTATTTATTTGTTTATTTATTTATTTTATTTTTCTTCGTCTTCGTCTTCTGCGTTTCCTCATCATGGAATTAAACTTTTCTATCATATATCCCTGTGGAAATGTTGAATTATTTAAAGTTTATGTTCCTGATCTCATTAAATTTTCTCGTTTGGTCATGTTGGGATAGGTGAATCTTCTCAAAAGAGTGAATCATGTGAATTTGGTGAGGCTCTTGGGTTATTGTCAAGAGGAGAGACAGGTTCTTATATACGAATTTGCAGAAGAAGGGAGTATATGGGACCATCTTCAAGGTCAGAATTACTTCTCCTGGAAAGAAATAGGCAGTTGTAAGATTTGTTTTTGGCTTGCAGCATTAGTCAATGAAGCAGAATTCTTTTGACTTTTGGAGCACCATGGCAATCGGATTTTGCAACTCGATTGACGTGTCTCATGCAATGAAATGCAATAGGAGCAAAGAGCCTCGACTGGAAACAACGTTTGAATATTGCGTTGCAATCTGCCCGTGGTATGATGATCAATGTTCCCGCATTTGTTTTCAGTATTAGCCCAGCAAAATCTCTTCTGACCTTGGATAGAACTGGAATGGGTGAACAACACCTAGGAGTTGCAACACCATTCCCAATTTGCTAGTTTGTGTGTTCATCACGAACCAGGATACGTGTCGATGATGAAGCTGAAGAATCCATATTGATCATTTTTTGTATCAGGGCTCGAGTATTTGCACACCGGCTGTAATCCAAGAATAATTCATAGAGACATCAAAAGTCAAAATATCCTGCTTACGAAAGGCATGGTAGCTAAGGTTGCTGATTTCGGCCTGTCAAAGTTAGGAGCTGACCAAGATAACGTCATGAAGACACATGTTACCACTATGGTGAAGGGAACGCTTGGGTATCTAGATCCAGAGTATGTCTGCTATCCGCGTCTAGCTACTGAACCAATGTGGTAGATTGCTATTCTAAGTGTGTTGTTTGTATTTCTCGATCCCTCACCTCCGAATTTTGCTTGTTGCAAGAGTCCTACTTTTCGGTGTGTTTTCAATGCTCCGCACCGTTAGAACATGCTGTGTAATCCGCCGGAAACGTGTCGCCACTGGTTCATCGACCTCCCATGACTTTCGCCAAGGCCTTTTCATGAAATACGATACAGCAGTCTGACCAATCTGTATGGTGCAGGTATCTCAAAACGGGTCAGCTGACAGAGAAGAGTGATGTATACAGTTTTGGAGTTGTTCTGTTCGAGATTATTACAGGCCGAAAACCAATCAACAATGCCGACAAGCATTGCTTCATCGGCGATTGGGTGAGCCAGTCTTTACCGCTCTTCTGACGTTGATGTCAAGCTCTGCCTGGTGTGAGTAGTAGAAGATGGTGTTCGTCTCATAAGTCTGGCCGGACTGTAGCTCTACTTTGTTGCATGTTCACAGAAATTGCTTCGATGTTCTCACATGGTAAACATACGGTAAAGATTTTGTCCTGGCTGAAGTATAAAATCGAGGATTCCCTTCACTCCTATGCGAGTATGGAACTCCAACCGTGCTGACTCTGTCTGAAACTGCTCTTGAATTCCAGGTAGAGACTCAATATAATAGTGGTTCCGCATCCAGAGCACTCAAAGCCGTGGCAGATCCAAAACTAGGTGGTCATTACAACCCGAAGGCATTGAAACTAGTGATAAATATTGCCAAGCACTGCATACAACCGCATGGAGTAGATCGTCCAGAGATGACTCAAGTAGTCCGTGTACTTGCAAAAGCACAGACGAAAGAAGCTGATGAAAAGAAAGCCTCATGGTTACCTTTCCTGTAATTGTTAGACCTTCCCGCATGTATGCGTCACTACGCAGTTATGAAAGCATTCTTCTCCTCATATTCTTTCTAACCTGTTCAGTTCATGTCATTCAGCATCCACGGAACTCAACTGCTGTGTGAACTTGAACCCAAATTCGGTTATGAACCGTGTCCACCGCTGTTGCTAAGCATGAATAGCTTCCACCCACAAGCACCAAACTGATGTCGTTTCATTTTGAGATATGGAAGAAGCTTCTGCAACAAACTCCACAGAAGCAAAGCTTATGGTCAGTGATTTGGAAAATGACTGAAACAAGACGTAGTTAACATGAGGTAGAGGTTGCATTGTCCTCATCCACATCAAGAGTTTTGTGAGGATATTGCAGAAGGCATTGCATGATGACTGTGAATATGAAGTTGACAATCCCCTTTTTTTGTATTACAATGCATCAGTCATGGATGTAGTGTGCGTTTAAAGTCTGGAGTAATTGTTTAGTGACGGGACTTTTACTCTGAAGGTTTTGTGTTGGGAGCATATTAGAATTGTAAATGTTTAAATTGTTGCTCTGATTTCCTTTTAGTGCACTTAATATGCTGAAAATAATTGAGGAAAAATATTTATAATATTTCGTAAAAATCAAATGTGGCAGCTAATGCTAGATAGTTAGAAATGTGCATAACAGGAGTTTGGGACAAAAATATAGTTTAGGTTAATCCAATATGAATGATCAAACATTAATTCACTACTATTTCTATGAAACATTGAAGATTTTTTAAACCAAAATATATACAAATTCAATACATGCAATCTGAGACATGTTAAAAAACAAGAGAGGAAAAATGTAATTGGTTTTGGGTTTGAATCATATCCTATACCTAAATGTGACATGAATGACTCACCCTGAAGCCAAATCATCAAGCCAAATTATATAAATCAATAAACAAATTACTACTTATGAAAGTAGGGCCATCATTTGTAGCATGCAATTTTTTTTAAAAAAACTCAAAACTAATGCCAACTTGTCTCAAGTTATTTTAAAACATGTATAAACATAGTACAAAAAGTCTTCAAATCAAAGAAATTTGGACTCTAAGTTGTTAAATTATATTTGTCTTAAAACAATGTACTAGTGCAGTAGAGCGTCAAACAATACTAATAAATAAAAAAAACTTAGTCAGTGTAAAAAACAATGCAAAGATTTTAAACTTGATATAATATAAAAATTGGACTTTATGTAAATTATTATTTGTTGATATTTATAACAGCAATGTTGAACTATCAATTTTAAGATCTAGATTTTAAGGTCAATATATTATGTCTTTACTATTTTATTCAATTATATATTATACTAAATAATTTATAACTTTTAACAATACTATCTAAATGTGTTATACTTTGGAATTTTTTCACAATATCTTATTGTATCCAAATCTTTATATTTATAAATTTAAACTTTTGTATAATAATTTCTAACAAATAAAATTTTTTAAGTCTTATTGTTAATCTCAAATGTGTATATATATATATATATATATATATATATATAACTATTTTTTTACATTTAAATACACATATAAATCATTGTAACTTTAAATATAACTTTATTTAATATTTTTATAGAAACTTAAAGAGCTCTCAATTTATATATGAAACTTCTAAAGTTTTTAGACTTGATGCTTTAAAAAATATGAAATAGAAATTATCTATTTTAAAAAAAATTAAAAATGCTTTCATGCATTACTCGAAAAATTGATTTATTTTTTTTTAACTTTTTACTTGTATATAGATTGATATTATACTTTGATGTAAATTTAAAATTAATTTCTAAATTTTAAATTTAAATATATATATATATATATATATATATATATATCCCTCTCTCTCTCTCTCTCTCTCTCTCTCTCTATATATATATATATATATATATATCAATATAGAGATAAACACATGCATACACACACACAAATACTTATGTTTATATATATGAATATATATATATATATATATATATATCCATACAATATTTTCTATGTTACCATAGTATTTGCTATTGTCATTGCAAATTGCCAACTACTACTTGCCACTATACATTTTGCTACTACCACCACAATTCACCACCCACTAAAAATATTTTTAAAGTTTTTCTTTTATTTTAATAATTTTTAAAAAATATATTATTAATTTTATATTATTTTTGAAAATATAAATTCTAACTTTAATTTCAATAAAAAGAAATTGAAGTATAAAAAAATAAGATATTTTTAATAAAAAAAGAAATACATATTATTACTTTTAAAAATAATTACACATCTAAATATATAGAGATAATTTTAATAAATAATTAAAATATATACTTTTCTATTTAGCATTGTTACAAGGTATGTATGGCATGTGATAGATGGCATGTTGTAGTGGCAATAGCAAAAAGAGTACTTGCATATAGGAGATGGTAGATTGTGGTGGCAGTAGCAAATGTTGGAGTGTCAATTGTAAAAGTTTAAGATGGTAGTGCTGGCATTTATAATATCTTATATATATATATATATATATATATATTTTAAACTATAAAATAAATCTTATTAGTATTTTGAAAAGAAACTTTCTTATGAACATTGAATACCCTTTAATAGGTAAACTTTAGTGTTTTCTATAATTATAAGCTAATATTTTTTATTTTTTAATACAATTGCAAAATTATAAGACACAAAATATGTAAGATATATAAATAAACTTAATAAATATACTTAATTATGATTTTAAACTGTAGATTATGACTAATTGCAACTTACTTGGCTCAGTTTGAAGTTGGATTTTTAAGCCAAATTATACAAATCAATAAGACTATTACTATTCAAAAGATTACATTCATCCTTTTTAACATATAATTTCTTTGTTAATAACAAATTTATATTTAATATGTATATGTTATTTATATTTAATATGTATATGTTATTTATATTTAATATGTTCTTATTATTGAAGGCGATTTTAAACATTATATTATTTTCAAAAATTATTCTCATATCACTTATTTACACATTTCTCAAAAGAGTTTGTACCACAGTGTGCATTTTAGAACGACTTCCAGCCTTATAATAGACACATGCAAGTACCACATATACAATACACATGACTGAAAAAAAATCTATAGATGAATATATCATCTTAGTATGAATTAGAGTTTTTAATTTGTTTATTTGAAGTTGTTTCCAAGGCAATCTAAAGCAAAGCAAAATTATTGTTAAAATCATACAATGAATAAGAAAATATTGCAAAGGTTAACTTGTGTTAAAACAATTGGGAGTCAAAATAAGATATCACCCAACAACAATAAATACTTTTATTTGTTTGATTTTATATATATATATATATATAAATATATATATAAATAAAATATTTTGATCATTAACAAAACTTAATTGGTGCACTGAATTGCAAAAGAATATAAAGTACACGCTTATGAACAATATGCCATAAACTACATCAAGCCACATTTGCAAAGTTTATTTTTTGGATCAAAATTTTTTTTTTTTATTATATTTTCTTATAAGAGTTTATATTAGCATCGACTTTATTTTTTTAAATTCTAATGCTGCAATTTTATATATATTAAATGCATATTTGATGCATTCACATTGTATATACAGTTAAGTGTTGAATCTAACATAGTTACTGCATGATTTTACTACATCTTTTTCTACTGAATGTACCTAAAATTTGATGCTTTTCTAAAAAAAATATATTATAAAAGGTAGTTTATTATTTATAAAATAAAGAAGAAAGTTTTATTTATAAAACACAACTTTTATACTTACTAAATATATAATTAAAGATTAAAACCTAAAAATTTCAAAATTGCTTTGCAAGATTTGATCCTATTTATTAATCTCCATGCTCATATGGAAATAAAAATATAAAAAAATAAAATAATTATAATTTTATAAAATTTATACATTGATAATTTCTCTTTTAAATAAAAAAGACTTTAAATTTTAAAGATTAGAAGTAGAAAACTTGTCAAGAAATTTTAGATACTTATCTTTATTATATTATTTTTTGCCAAGATCACCACTTACAACATATCATAAACATACATATTTACTCCAATAATTAATTAAATAATATAAGTAGATAAAAGTAGATAAAATTAGATAAATTGGATAAAAGTAGAACTTTATAGACGCAACTTTGCCTTTATACATATCTATAAGTATTTGGTAAGTTGAAAATTTTGCCAATAAATTGGCCACATGTGATATATATTGGCAACTTGTTGTATAAGTTGGACATGTAGTACATATATAGGAAGTTTGTTATGCAAATTACATTTATATTCTATAAGTTGGATACGTGTTTGACGTCTTGTAGAATATTGCTATATAACTTATAGTTAGATAGTATATATGAAGGCAAGAGAGAAGCCATCTTTGCTCTTATTAATTCTTTTCTTACTTCTAGTCTAGTTTAAAGAGTCTCTAGTTTTCTTGACTTTTGGCAATAGCCATTCTAATATTTTTAAATATACAATTTTATTTGTTTTTTTTATCAATAGTTTTTAATAAATATTTTATTTATTTACTTACATACTTTGAATTCTTACTTTGATACATTGATAAGAGTATTCTTATAATATGAAAGCTTTGACTTTTCTTGATTAAGACGTAAGCATATTAAAAGTTGTAAATTCTTCAATTCTAAATTAATATTATTCTTAGAATATTCTTTATTTTGAACTCTTTCTTTCTATTTGTCTTAAGTTGTATTAAAAAACTTATTTTTTTTATTAAATTATTATGACAAAGCTTGTTGAAATGAAGAGTACAATAATACAAATTTTCACATGATATGATATTAGGTGCCAAATTTCATTGAATGTATGTAGTTTAGTTTGTTTAGTAGTTTTTCATCTATTGAAATTTTTTATTAGTTGATTTTATTAATATCAATTAAAGTTTGAATATTTAAATTAAAAAATATATTTGACTTAATATTCTTGTCAAGTTAAATCTTATGAATGATTTTGAAAATATATATATATATATATTATAAAGATTTGCTTGGCTATCGTGATTTAGCCATTTTAATAAAGCTTTAGGATTTTTTCTATTCTTCACTTTTTCATTCTTGGATTCTTTTTTTGTAATGAAAGAGATAGTTTGATTTACTTGTGTGTAGATTTATAATCTTTTATTTAAGAATGTGTTGGTTGTATATTTTTATTTGGTTTAAATTATATACATTATGATTGATTTATTGTACTTGATGTGTTGTGTATAATGATCTTTGTTTATATGACAAAATGCAAGAACAGATGAAAAAGTTAATGCTTGCAATGCATCAATTCAATTTATTACTTTGAAGAGCAATAAGATTGACAAAAATTGAAGATATAGAAATATTTGCAATTGTTTCAACATCTATGCTAAATCATGTTATTT